AACAAACCATGGAAACCAACAAGAAAACACTGAAGACAAAAGTCTTTTTATGGGACCTCTTGATCAATGGACAGAGTTTAGCTGTAAATAAATGGAGATTATCAGCCGAAGTTCAAAAACGTGAGTCTCGTTTTCACAGATTAACAATCAGAGTTAATCCAGAACTTTAGTAAACCCGGAGAGATGATGGAACGAATCTGTTCAGGCTCAGCTCCTGGAAACGTTTGGCGTCCTTGACTTTCTCCTCGCTACCGGATCCGTCATGAAAAACAAACACGGCCCAACGGGACCAACCGGGCCTGGAAACAGAACCGCTGCTGAAACAGGAGAGCATCTGGAGCCTGACAGGAGCTGAAAACTGTCCAGGAGAAGGAACGAAAAGACTCCGACAGAAAACAAACAGCAGCCGGAGCAGCAGGTAAACGTCCACCTGGTTCTGCCCAGATGTGTCCCGGCAGCGCCGTCAAACAACCAGAGAAGAAGAAAGACATCAGAGGACAAACGGCTTCAGATGGCAGCAGTTTGTAACACAACACCTCCGTCCCAGAGGAACCACTGGTGGAGGTTTCTCTACGGAACTTATCTGTTTAATGAAAACCGTTTAATCTGAGTCCGCCGCAGGATTCATGTCCGTAATTTAATCTGACAGGATTTATGTCACAATAACACAAATCTGTTGCTCTTCGTTTATTTGACTAATTATCATTTTAATGCATATTTTTAGTTCCAGGCTTCAAATCACCTGGAAATAAAACTGATGAACTGGTTCCAGGTCCTGGTCCAGCATCTTCCAGAACCTCCTTCAGCAGCAGAACTCTGGGTTCTGGAGGAGTTCTGGCCCACTCTTTGTTCCATCACTGAAGGTTCTGCTCAGCTAAAGGTCCAACCACAGTGTTTCATTCAGGCTGAGGTTCTGGACTCTGACTGGACCGTTGGTTCTGGTTCTTCATGGTTCTGTTGGATCATGTGTGCTTTGTGTTAGACTGAGCTCATTTTGGACCAGATGAAGACGGATCAGTTTTTTTCTTCCTAAACGTTTATTCAAATCACATCTTTCTCTTAACGTTAAACTCTTCTTTTAATAAACGACGCCGTCATTACGTCACCTCGTTCATCGTTCCAGATGTTCGGGTCAGCTGCACATGTGCGGCCTCTTTCGTGAATTGTCAGTCCCATAATCCGTGCTGCATTAAAGTCGAACACAGCAACGGGACTAGTGATGCACAGCCTGGGCTTTTTTGTTTTTGTTTATAAAAAGGTAAAATAATAATTTCTGAGAGCTGTTGCTGACGATAGGAAATAAAAGTTGTGGGTCAAAAAGTGTCGAATGCTCAGTCGAGTTAAGTTTAGTGTGTTTTTGTTGCTCGGTGTTCATTTAAAGACTAAAGGAAACGGTGTGCAGTCAGTCTGAGCCTTTCTGACCTTTGACCTTTGACCTCCATAGCCTGAACCTCCAGATGAACCCTGATGTGGTTTCTATCAGACGAGACAAACATCCTCCAGCTGACGGCTCAACCGCCGGCGCTGACGCTGTCGTGTTCTGACCCGTTTGAGGTTTGAGGGGAAAATGTCTGACAGGAAACTGAGCGGGTCGTCCGCCTCTAATCCAGTTGTTTTTTTTACCTGAGCAGCAGCAACACGCTGCAGCCTCTAATCCAGCTTTCTACCTGAGCAGCTGCAACACTATGCAGCCTCTAATCCAGCTTTCTATCTGAGCAGCTGCAACACTATGCAGCCTCTAATCCAGCTTTCTACCTGAGCAGCAGCAACACGCTGCAGCTTCTAATCCAGCTTTCTACCTGAGCAGCTGCAACACTATGCAGCCTCTAATCCAGTTGTTTTTTTACCTGAGCAGCAGCAACACGCTGCAGCCTCTAATCCAGTTGTTTTTTTACCTGAGCAGCAGCAACACTATGCAGCCTCTAATCCAGTTTTCTACCTGAGCAGCTGCAACACTATGCAGCCTCTAATCCAGCTTTCTACCTGAGCAGCAGCAACACGCTGCAGCTTCTAATCCAGCTTTCTACCTGAGCAGCTGCAACACCATGCAGCCTCTAATCCAGCTTTCTACCTGAGCAGCTGCAACACTATGCAGCCTCTAATCCAGCTTTCTACCTGAGCAGCAGCAACACGCTGCAACCTCTAATCCAGCTTTCTACCTGAGCAGCAGCAACACGCTGCAGCCTCTAATCCAGCTTTCTACCTGAGCAGC